AAGAACATAGCAATAAATAAGCACTACCGCTCGAAGCATTTTTAGTGGCTTGCTTCCTTAGTTGGGCAGGCTTTCAGTTTCAGGGCTTTCAACAACTTCTCCATGAATGAATTGTACAGAGAATATGGAATCCCTTGGATAGTCCAGCACAAACTTAGTCAATGACTGACACACCATGATTGCAAACCAAATGTCCGCTGCCAACATCCTAAATTTGAACTCTTCCTGCATCAGTGCTGAAGCAACTGGTTTCAATTTATTTCATAAATTATGTCAGTATATTTTGGAGCCAACAAATACAGTGATCCCTCGGTTAATGAACGCCTCGGTTAACGAATTACCTTCCATAAGAATCTTCAATTCGGTTAACGAACAAAAATTTGGTTAACGAAAATTTTTACGAAGTCATGTCAACATGTTTTCGCTGGCTCACCAGCTGGAATATTAGTCCGCCAATACAGTAATTGGTTCTAGGGCTTAAATTCGTTCCCATTTGAGTAAATATCAAGAAGGTTGTACTATTCAATAATTTTCCAAGTTTTATATTAAAATTTTTAGTCATTTTAACACTTATTTAACATAATTGCAGTACAGGAAACTGGTTTTTGGTGCGCCAATCAGCCACTTGACTCACCCAGCACGGCGTCAGTTTGTATCTCTGGTCAGTGGAGGTAACATCTTGCTTGTGACTCTCTTGAACATAAACTATTTTTACATGTTTATAGTACAATTAATGGTCATTGTGAAATTGATTTTACATATTGACAATATATAGTGCATTGCAGTGTTGATTAAAAGAAAATAATCTTGAATTACACCTAGTGAACTTAAAATTTTATGGGTGAAATGACGGCATGAAGCATGGGGTGATTTCTCTTCCACCGCCACTTCCTTCTCTTCTCCCTTCTCCTCCACCCCCACTTCTAATTCCCATCATCATCATCATCAACCAGGAGCCTTCTACATAAACACCTCAAAGTAAGTGTATTTTACTGCATTTATTTTTGCTTTGTATGCAATTTTCGGTGAGCTGGAACCAATTACCCAAAATCCCATTGAAACAATGGTTTTGGTTAACGAATGACCTTCTGGAACGAATTGTGTTCATTAACCGAGGGACCACTGTACTGGGAAAGTTCATTAAGGAATTATTTTTGTCATTGCATTGGAACTTCAAAAAACTGAACTTGTGAGCATTCCTATCTGAGGGAGTGAATGTTAAGTCTTTCAATATGTTAACCCAGACTTCATCTATTTCAGAGATCATTTTGGGGCAAATTTCAGGCCAAGAGATTGTTGTATCACCTTCTAAAAACAAAGAATGAGGACCCACAATTGCCTTGCCTTCCTGTCTCTTTGTAGTGCTGAGAGATCAGGAAGTTTAGAAACATTTTCACAAAATACCTTGAATAAGGAATCCACAGAATCAGATGTGGTTGAAAATAAAGAAGACTTAGATCTTACCAATGTTACCCAAGGCCTGTTTGGATTATCCTTACACTCTATGTTCTCAATCAGCTGCGTGGGAGTCGACAGTTGCCTGGTTCCACCATTAGTAACCAACAATTTTGCCCCAGGTGGAAGAGGCTGCCAAGATGGGGACAGGATGAAGTCAGTCTCAACAGGTTCTCCCTGCTCGTGACTGAAGACTATGATGAGTGACAACTTCCTCATCCTGATCCTGGAATCCACTAAAATCGAGCTGATTAGGTAGAGGTTCTTGCAACACTCCTACTCCTTCATCATCGTGGATGTCCAATAACCATTAAGTACAGTACTGCAGGGTCCCTCAGGACTCATTTAGCTTAAAACTTGGGTTGAAACACGACGAACCTCTTCAAGGGAAGATGTTGTTCAATAATACGGGCGTAAGTCTCTTACCTGTCACCCATAAGTCTAAACTTTCTGCCAACGTGGGATAGTTCCAGTGTTTTGCATTTACAAATTGACTCTTTAAGGCCTTATTCCAATATTCAGTTAGGTTTTGGCAACTACTAAATACTGTATTGGTGAATTTCCCAATTAGTACCCAATTCTCTTTCAAGCTTAAAATTTATTTACTGGTTTTTAGTTTTGATTCCTTCAATTCCAATCATCTGCGTTCCTGAGTTACTGCCCCACTCCTTAAAATCATGAGCCTTAGAAGGAAGTGGGGGTTTTTAGATTTGAGTGGGAAAAAGCAAGCCGATTTGCAATAGAAATGGATGTTAAATCAAATATTCCTAAAAATGTAGGAAAAAGGAATTTACAAGTTTCAAAACTAACTAACTTGGTGACTTGGGTGATGATCTGATACCTAAATTAAGGTATTTAAATGTTTGAATTTTAGGATTTTAAGTTTCAACAGATATGAGGTTTAGGTTAGGTTAGGATTAGTATTTTCTGAATGGTATTTGATGTGTTTTGAAGATAAGACCTTCTCTAATAATTGGATGATTGAAATATAATAAATACCATTTTTAAACCCACTTTCAATGAACTATGATCTAATAATTCTTTTTCTCCTTTCTCTATACTATATACAAGATGGTCCTCGGTTAATGAACACAATCAGATTAATAGGTTGATAAACTAACAAACCATTTCAATAGGATTTGATAATCGATTCCAAAACTCAGAAAATTTTAAAGTAAACAAAATGCAAGATAAAAATATACTTACACTAAATTTGTATGTAGTAAACCACCAGTTGATGATGATGGGAATTACAAATTAGGTGAAGAGAGCGGAAATGGAAGAGAAATCACAGAGTTTCATAGATCATTTCACCCACAAAATTTAAGTTCACTACAGTGTAATTCTGATTATTTTCTTTAAATCAACACTACACTGCACTATATATTGTCAATATGTTAATAAAGTTCAGATAAATAACATTGTACTGTAAAACGTAAAAAACACTGTGTTCAAAAGACCCACAAACAAATGTTTCCACCACTGACAGAAATTCAACTGAGGCCTTGTTGGGTGAAATTGAAATAGCTGTTAAAGCACACCAAAAACTAGTTCACATTATGTTAAATAAATTGCTAAAACCAATCATTTAATATATAACTTGGAAAATTATTGAATAATACAACCTTCTTGATATTTACTCAGACACCCAGAAGATTTTATATATAGGCTAATCCTTCAAGCCAAGCAGCATTAGAAACATTTAAATACAATTCGTTAACCTTGAATGAATATTCTACCGGAAGGTAATCGTCAACCAAATTTTTTTTAACCAATTTAGTAGGACCACTGTAATCTAGTCCAAAATCGGATTCAGATTGGACCAGTTTTCAGATTCTTACTGGATTCTCAGGCAGTACTTTTAAATTAAAATTTAAGGAGAAATAAAAAAGAGATGAACAATTATTTTATTCATTACAAAAAGCGCCATTCATCAAAACGACAAGTTTTAAAGAAAAAAAAAGTCACACTCAGACAAAAATGTAAACAAACTGTCTATCCATGACAGTCTTGAAATTCCTAACCATCCGTCACACTCACTCTGATTCAATATTCATCTTAAAGAACTTTGTATAATAGCATCATTACAAAAATCTTCAGTTGTTTTAACAAAACCATTCAAGTACAAACTTTATCAAGATTTTCTAATTTGGGCCAATGTAAACTTTTTTCCTTTCACAATTTTAATGTAAAGAACAAGCTTAATTTGTTCAAAAATTTTATTCTTTTGCCTTTTTTATATCATAAATTGTAGACTTTTAATAGTATGTTTCATTGAGAACAACATTTCATCCATTACATTCTAGTTTCTTAATTATTTCAAGAACTTTCACTCAACTTCAATATCAATTCTTCCTTTCTCTTACACCACGAAGTTTATCTCTTTAAGGCCATTATTATGAGGGCTTATAATATCTGTACGGAAAAATTAGACTCAAAAATTACATTGTCACAATTCTGATTGCTTGTTTTAAAGTGGCAATTGCAGTCGAATTGTTGTCGCCAGCAGCCAGGCATTCCATACATACACACAAAGACCCATAGTGCCCCCAAATACACATTTCAAAGTTCAGCTAAATTACAAAACCATTAAGGAGCCACCTTTTACAATTACTTTACCATGATTAGAATTATGTAAATTAATTTTTTAAAAGCAACTCCATTTCTCAATCACATAACCCACAAGCCGATAAATTTAAAAGTTTGAGTTTTTGAAAAGTCAGTTCTCGGGTGGTCCGGTTCCCTGGCATCAGGATTTTTTGGACTTTTACTGTAGCGTTATAAAGTGTTGACAACGTTATATATTAATCCCAAAAATACTTAATATGGTAAATGTTTGCGATATGATTTCACCAACAATTTTTTCCTGCATGGATTTTGAAGCTTTCTTTTTTAAGACAGGATTTTTTCTGGGGAAAACAACAAAAACTAATGTTTTCAATCGTGGTCAAACATTTCAGCTTTTCTGGAAATCAACATCCTCCAGTAAATAAAATAAAGAATTTATGCAGAAAAATGTTTTGTACTATTTCAGATATTAGTTATCTTAACTAACCTAATGTATTTATTCTTTCCTCTATGAGTTGTTTTATAATGTATAAATTATAAAAAAGAAACACTTCCCCAAAAGAGAACACTGTCACTAGCAATTCCCAACAAAAATTATGGTGGAAAAGCAGTGTATTCTTACTGGAATCGTTGGCAGCATTGGTCTACACGTTAACCCTTATTATAATGATAAGAACATCTGTGGAAAAAATTAAGAAAATGTACAGTATGTATCAGGTGCCTTCAAGATAGCTCAGGCTCTCAACTGACTCAGCCATTTTAATATTGTTATTATTTTCAACTCTGTATCTGTGTTCTTCTGGCTAAATAAACTGGGTGAATTTATAGTAAAGCACAGGTCTTTATCTTGCTGTTATTAATATGTATTTTGTAATGTTTAGACATTTCTAAAACATTTTTCTTCTGTGATATTTCTGCCGGAAATTAAGGAAAACCGAGATATTAATTTTCCAATATTATTATATTTGGTCATTCACAAGTCTTGCCATTTGATGTTTACGTCTCGCAGAGAAGCACCGACTCCCTCAGCCAGTGCTCCACAACCTCCGAGTTCGCTTCTTAAGCGTCTACAGCGCATGTGCAGGGGTGGTGTGGGAGTTCCTTATTGGCTATAAAGAGAAGAGACTTATTATTGGGCAAGAATTTTTTGTATAAGCCAATTAACAATGTGTGGATGTGTTGGGAGCGCAGATTTGAATTTTCAGTACCAGATATGGCCGAACGAATACAGTCCAACTCGGCCCACATCCAACTAGGACCATCTTGGATAACAACTTGGATTAAAAAGTAAAAGTTTACACATTTATTTTTGCATGAATGATAAAAGTACAATGATAAAAAACAGCATAAAAGTACAAACATTACTGATAAACAGTCTAAATAATGTGTTACTTAATGCACAAAGACAGAACATATCATACGGAAAACTCAGATCAAACAACAATGACCCTAAATGGATAAATAATTATTTAAAGAATATTATTGGACAAAGGAAGGCTATAGGTTGGAGAATAAATCGTGGTGAAGTTTACCTCCGAGATTATTATAAGGGATAAGAAAAGCAAAGAGGAATAATGAACTGAAGGTAGCAAGGGAGGGAGGTGATGTCAAACCCCAAGGGATTCTTTCAAATGTAACAAACTAAAACTCAGACAAGATTGGACCAATACAGTCAGATACCTGCGAGCTAACTGATAATGACGGAGAAATGAGCAATAATCTGACCAGATATTTTTCAACAGTTTTCACTACCTAAAATTTAAATATGATACCCGAGGCACCAGTTATATACTGTACAGAGATAATGAAGAAAATGGGTTAAGCGAGATAGTAGTGACTAGTAATGATGTTATTAAGCAAACAGACAAGCTAAAGCCTAATAAGTCACCAGGTCCCGATGAGATATTTGCTTAACATGTCATTAAAAACAGGTGTAGTACTGTCCAATCAGTTTAACATCAATTGTAGGCAAATTACTGGAAGCAATAATTTCAAACTACTGTATTCGAAATCACTTGGAGAAGTACAAGTTACAAATGTAAATCATGGTTCATTGATCAAGTTCTACTAACATAAACTCATAAAATTAGTCCTTCATACTGATTGAACCCTCAGTATTCACTCATTCATACTCTTCGTATTTCAGTGAACCAAAAGAGACATAAAACAAATCTCAAACTCATTCCTGAACCTCTAGTCAACTACTTGTTTGAAGTGTGCAAGGTGGGCCGAGTTAGCTAATTGGGTGGGCAGAGTTGGCTAACTGGGCTGGCCGAGTTGGAAATTGGCCGAGACGGAGGTACACTCACGCTCCATAGTTTCAATGCACCCTCTACCCCTACTCCTGGCTCAAGGGAAGTCGTAGTCAGGGCTGCAAACCGAAAGGTCCCTCTTGTATAGTGAGGTTAAGTATAGTGGTTAGGGTGTGACAGTTGCCCCAACTTTGTCCTACAATGCTGTTCCAAATTTTGGTGTTGCATAGACATAAAAAATACCCACGTGCAATTTTTTGAAGATTCATGCATATTTGAGTGAGCACCAACAATTTGAAAAATAGAGATTTTGCTTATACGGCATACGCGCCTATATATGAGATTACACAACCATCATAAGGGATATTAACACAAATCATTTGCCTGTCTTAATTAAAAGCTGTTATCACTAGCACAAAAAAGTTATCATTCTTATTCTATCATGGTACACTAAGGGGCTTTATCATATATTCACAAGGTATTATTTCTCTAGAGCAAGAAACCATGATTTCTGTTCAGAAACAGATGATCGTTTGCGCTGATTAGGAACGCGGAGTCTGTCATTTTCAACTACTTGAAGGACTTCTTGAAAGCGCTCCTCATCCCTGGCAACATTAAGAAAGTCATGGCAAAGTTTTACACCACGCTCTGCAGCCTCATTGACGACCTGAAGCTTGTCCACAACCCGTTTCATGTTCAGGTAGTAGTCATGATCCGCCCATTCACTGGCTGGACTGTGGAGAAACTGATAGGGTATGCCTAAAATGGTGAAGAACCGGCTTGAGTCAGGCCCAATTAGGTCCACCAGGGCAGTGCCACTTTCTGGGACAGGGGGAAGATATGGCTTTCCATAGCCCCCATGATTGAGCGCCACTCTTTTAGTAACTTCAGTGCCTTCATGGCAAAGAAGGGCCTTCCTCATCTCCTCTTTTGTCCTTTCTTGTACTTGGTATGAGAACAAAGCCAGTGGGGCCAACTCCTCAGTTAGGTACCAAATGTGTCTACCGAGTGCCACACGTGCTTTGTCAACTATTGTGGCGTCATATGGGGCAAATTCAGCCAAGGTTTCGACCAAATTCAAGTCGTTCAGTGGCGCACTTGCTGGAACGGGGCAAACAATCCACCATGGGACATAAACAGCGACTGTGAACACAGCAAACCGTTCTAACTTGCTGATTTGACTTTTAGTCACAACCTCGGCTTTGGGAAATTGCTCTTTGATCTGGCCTGACAAAAGAACAATCTTGAGGGTATAGAGCAGTTTAGCCATCCACCTTGCTTTGTGAAGTGCGCCGGGGTAGACCATCGTGAAGTTCACTGGCTCGGATCCTTTAGTTACAAGCAGCAGACAAAGCTCTACCAGCTCCTTGTAGTCACCACGTGTAAATGGTTGGGCTCGAGATTCACGGAAGAAGTCCACCATCTCCTGCTGGCACTCCTCAAACACTCCAGGCATTGCGGGGTAATAGTATTTATTTTTTTCATTGTACGCCAGTTGAGAGAAATGGGTCTTGAACCTAGAAATGCAATTATTGGGATTATTGTATTTCGTACTAATCTATAATATTGTTTTAGGGGTATTAAGATTGATATGATCGGTCATTTGCTTAGTGTTAGTATATCTTATAAGTCTAATAAAAGAAATTCCGCTAAATTTGTTCATTAGATAATATTCCTTGTTATTTTGTAAAGCCAACAGTGCTAGCTCAAACATGCACCGATCTCCAAGAAAATTTACAGGGGTGTTTCCTAGATAAATGCACAACACTAAAACTTTGAACAGCATTGTAGGACCATTTTTTTTATTTTTGGAAGGCAACGGTCACACCCTTATAGTGGTGGTAAATAAAGTGTCGTCAAGTCACTAAAAAAAACCTGTATCGTGCATAAATTCTCTCAAATATTACATCATGAACTGCTATTCGTAAAATCCAGCGAAGCTTTGAGCTACCACATTACACCATTGAACGGTGGGTGGGGGGCGTTCAGTATGAAGCCAAGGCTACGACTTCCATCGAGTCAGGAGTAGGGGTAGAGGAAGCAACGAAACTATGGCGTGTGAGTATATACCTGGCTGGACAGGTTGAAGAGCTGTGCCGACATTGTGATAGATTACTTTATGTCAATTGCCCAGTTCCCCGCCTGTACCCTCCTCAAAGTGACGGGCCACCACGAGCAGTAGTAGGTAGGTAGTAGGCAGCTACCAAACAGGGAGGTACGTTCCGCCTGGGAAGATATTGGAAGCATAATGAATTGTCTAATGGTAGACCCTGCTGCCATATGCCAACACAAAAATTGTGTCCAAGTCCCAGGTTGCTGATCTGACTTTCTGCCTCATTTACACACAGTTGCAGGGTTTCAATTGTTTCTCTTACTTTGACAACACAACATACATATATTGCTTCTCACTACTGTAGTGATTTTTTTTCTTTATGGTTCTTTATTATTATTATTATTATTATTACAGTGTTGTTATTATTATTATCATTGTTATCATTATTATTTAATTTTTTATTTTTTATTATAAATTTTATTTACTAAGAATTTTAATTTTTATTATTATTATTATTATATTACATTTTCGTCCCCCTGGCCCTGCTGTAGGTCAATGATCTGTGCCCGGGTGGGCTAATCCCAGTGTAAAAAATAAATAAAATAAATAAAAATAAAATAAATAAAATAAATAAATAAATAAAAAAGCGACGACTCCGCTGCCCGGGCTCAGCAAGCACCGATACATCTCACGTCCAGAAAATGCCTCAAATTTCAACATATCATAGTAAGTTTGGTAGACATAGCGCCCCCGAAAGTTATAAACTACTGAAACATTTAGATCTCGCTATTCTGAGCATTTTGAACCCCATATGTACACAGCGGAAATTGATAATAGCGACACAATTGAATTTAATTGATATTAATTATTATGTTTTCAATCTTCTTCTGTGAGATGTTAACAGAGCATCACGCATGCGCAATGTTGACTGACGCCATCCAGTCGTGACCAATGAGGTATCGATAACATCAAGCAAATTTTTTTTGACCAATCACATTTGATTTTTTCAAAGGAAGCATCGTGGGAACGATATTAATTTCATTGACCAGTCTCACAATGGCCGTGGTGGAGGTTGGTTGTCATTTGTGCTCCTACGATTATTTTAAGTTTATTGCCGAGTTTAATGACAAAGATGATTATTCTATCCAATTCTTACGTATCCCTGGTCCTACCACTTCTAACTAAGGTATTGTACTCTCGGACATGGCGCTCCCCAAAGTTTTTAACTACTGAAACATTTAGGTTAGTTTAAGCTAGGCCTACCGGGGGTCTGGGGGCGGTGCCCCCGGCTAGGGATCAGGTTAGGCCTTCCGGGGGTCCGGGGGTGGAACCCCCGTCTTGGAGTTAGGTTAGGTTTTGTTAGGTTATATGACTCGTTTTTGTTTTCTCCCCCACCCAAAAACTCCGATTTCCCAGGCTCTCCCCCATTACTGTTGGAGGGGTGGGGGAGCAAAAACTAGTAATTTCCGCCAAAAATGAAGGTCCGATTCTTTTGAAACACACCAAAATACACTGGGAAAACATATTGGTCAACCCCTAGGGGGTTGAGAATGTTAGGTAAGGTTAGGTAGATTTGTTTGGTTAGGTTGGTTAGGTCTGTTCTTCATACCCACAAATGTTAGGTAACGTTTATTTTAAAAATATCAATTTTTTATCAATTTTTTAACATATTTGCACAAACCAAAACAGAGTCCACTATAAAATAATCGTTTTCAATCAATTTCGGCCGCGGGTTAGGAATATGTATTAGGAATATGTTTTTTCCAATGGCTTTAGAACGATTTTTGCCTTGTTCTCCATTTTTAATCACCTGTTTCTACGACTTACCCAACAAAAAAAATCAAATTTTCCAACATCTTCCATAAACTGGTTCAATATCAATATCCTTCTGGTGTAGTGCTGTTTTCAGACATTACCATTCATTCCTTGGTTCATTCACATCGTTTATCTTGATATAACTTACCTTAATGATAGTAGAAAGAAAGAAAAAAATTAATATGCATTTGAATTAAACATGGCTTCTAAGGAAATTATGTGGAGTCAAGTGAGTAGTAGTAGACGCACTCTGTACACGGTGAGTCTGAGCTGTTGAATGATTGTTTACACTGTTAGCTGGACACTAGTACAGGAGATGGCAGCACTGACTGGAGCAAGCTATGGTTATTACTCAGCGGGTGGGAAATCTTCTCGGGCTGTCTCCCACATAATGATAAGATTTATAATTAGTATCACATTATATGGAGGAACCTTAATTCATGAAAGGGTCCTCATTTTATTATCAATATGGAGCCCTCGTTTCAAGGGTCCGGCTCTGAGGTCCGAACTTCGATCACCCAGTTGACCAAACTCTATAACCAAGGATTCTGAACAAGGACTATATAGGAAAGATGTTGAACTCTTCTTAAAACCTATTATTTCCTTCGTGGCCTCCGATTGACGCATCATCTATGAAGGCTGTGACATCATAAAGAATGTTTTGGCATTACATGGGTAATAATTAAAAACAAGGGTTCCTTCAAAAACACGTTTGTTTTTATTCATACTCGTGTACAGTATTCAACCATTCTTCATCTTATATTTAAATATTTAAATTACATTTTTAATTTGTATTTTATTTGATAATCTTCAGGAGTGAGGTGCTTCCTCGTCTGGTCTACAGTATGCTATTGCTAGGCAAGACCTTAAAGTCAGCCATGCGAGGATACAGGGAAGAATTCAAGTGGTGTAAAATTAAATTAAGGGGAGGAAACTTTAGTCCAAGAGCCCAGGCACTTTTAATCATGTGTCTGAGGCCAAAAGGTTTGAGGGTCGTTTCTGAATCAGAATTTTATGCTGAATCTGAAAATCCATTTCTTAATTGCCGCAGCTGCTGCGTTTTTGGAGAAAAACAGTGTTTTTTGTTGTTTTTATACCCTATTTTGGGGAAAAGTATAAAACAATGTTTTTACTTCGTGGAGTTATTAAATATCCATTTATACTAGCTTAAATGGAAAAGGAACAAAGGTTCATCGCAGCATTCGCCAAATTGGGAGATTCAGCTCACATATCATCAGATCTGTTAACAGACATGGAGGCCTTTGTTTGTAGCATGTATGGGAAGCCCAACCTAACATCAGTGAATACAGCCAGACATATGCTATTTGATCAGCATTTTGCACCAAAACAAAAATCTCAGCCTTTGCATAAAATCAAAGGAACCGACCCTAGTAATTTGCCTCCATGCAAATCTGTGCTCTTGGAGAAATTGAAGCGTGCAAATCTGGTAGCATCAATGTGGAAAAACGCAATTACCCCAGAATCGTACAAGTGGGCTCCAGAAGAAAATGGATGGCTGCTAGAGAACGGTCGCTATGTTATTAACTGGTTTGAAGGGCAACAGGTCCCAGAAGATGTATGCCTCCACATTGATGATAACGTGGGTACAGATATGGCTAATGAGGAGGAAGATGAAACGGAGTACTGTTCCTCCTCTGATGAGTCAGACAGTGACTCTGACTAATTTGTGACACTACAAATTTTATTGGAATATGTTTTGGAGACATAACAGAACAGTTTGTCTAAGTTTTCCTACATTATAACAATTAGGCCATGAGAGTCTAAGGAACATGCCTTGTTGGCGCTTTATTTAGTACACCAAATTCATAAGTTACAATTATGGTATACTGCATAAAACTGGGATTCAGTTTTATGTACACTTCTGCCTAAGGTAACCATAACCTGAGGACAGGAACTATGGGACGACATTTAACCAGATTTTTTGTCTTGGCAGCAAAATCTGACAGGGGGTGGAGAAAACTTTACTGTCAATATTCTATAGCAGTCACATACTCGCAATAAGTATTGCTATAAGTGTTATACAGAGGTTATAACCAATTTACAAGATTAGTATCACAGTGACATTATAGACGATACATCCTTCATGAGAAATCACTGACTGCACCGATTAAAGAACTGTTTTTTTTCACAAAAGAGCTCTTGTTACCATGGATACCCAGCTTACATGTATTATTTTGATGTATGTGCGTTCAAAAAGATAATATCTGTACTTTGATACCCTACATGCTAGTATAAATGGATATTTAATAACTCCACGAAGTAAAATCGTTGTTTTATACTTTTCCCCAAAATAAGGTGCGAAAACAACAAAAAAACGCTGTTTTTCTCCAAAAACGCAGCAGCTGCGGCAATTAAGAAATGGATTTTCAGATTCGGCATAAAATTCTGATTCAGACGCGACCCTCAAACCTTTTGGCCTCAGACACATGATTAAAAGTGCCTGGGCTCTTGGACTACTTACTTACTGCCGGGTGCATCTACAGATCCCTAAACTGTACCTTACTAAATCAAAGAAACTTAAGAGCCCGTGTCTGACGAAAACAGGCGAATGGAAGGTTGTGAGGAGAGGGACGACCAAACTGGTGGTGAAAAAACACACCAAGGATACAACAACAACAGCTAAGTATACCAACTCTTTCAGTCCTTTGATAGACGAATTGGACGTTAGCATGGTCAGGGACAAGGCTGACAAGGAAGGTACGAAAACCTTAATTGTTGGCGATTCCCAGGTACGGTACCTGGAGAGCTTTTTGTGGTAAAAATAAAAATAGGATGAGGGTGTGTTTGCCAGGAGCTGGGGTGGGGATATAGTTGATGAGATGGACAATATATTGTCTGGTAATGGGAACAAACCCATTATCTGCCTCAGTGCAGGAGGCAATGATATTGGCCGGTGTAAGAGTGAGGAGCTTTTTGATAAGTTCAAGACAGCTATGAAACGTATTAGGTCGAAGGGAGGAATCCCTATCATATGTGGTGTCCTGCCTAGAAGGAGAGTTGGCAATCAATGGTTGTCAAGGGCAGTTGGTGTCAACGGCCGTCTTGACAGATATTGCAAGTCAATATCAGTCCCATTCATTGACAACTGAGACAAGTTCTACGGCAGAAAGGACCTTTCGACGAAGTAGGTAGCTACCAAACAGGGAGGTACTGCCGCCTGGGAAGATATTGGAAGCATAATGTATTGTCTAATACATTATGCTCCTTCTTCTGCCACCCTTACTTGGGACACATTAATCACGACCACTTATTGAACAGTGCCATTACATTTTGGGCTAAAATACAAGAGGAAACAAACACTAAATCACCTGAATGACATCATGTTCTGCCACAAACGCTACGAATAGGACAGTTGCCTTCGCCGCGGCGCTCAGTATGGCTCCAGCAGGGTGAAGACGTGTCAGGTTGATCAAAGGCACCGCTGCCAGGCTGACCACAATGAGCAAACGTGCCACCCGGAGCAGAGGTGCAAGCTTTGAGGAGTTCTTCCTTACCCGCATGCTGTCTTGAGGTGCGGTGGCGTTTCAACGTTGATGTCTCAGTACTCAAGTGCTTATGGCAAACCTGACGAATATGCCTTCGTCGGAGTTCCTGGTACTCAAGCTAGTCAAGAACTAAAACGTCCTTCGATAGCCATTTTTCTTTTTAATGGGGACGAGGAGACTCAACCTGAAGATATCAGTTGTTGAGAATATGTTAGACGATGACTCTTACAAGCATTAAATAATCTCCGTGCACCCATAGGATTTCACCAAATATAGCGGTATTGCAGAGAACCTCTAGTTGAACGTAAGTTTACTTGCACATACATTTAATCCACATAAAAGATATTAGTTTATTAGTTATGTTTATTGAGTGTGTAATAACGACAGTAAATACACCAATTACCAAGACAGACTGATGACTGCATGATTCAGAGCCTCTTAATTCATAAGCAACACCAAAGATGTTAGTGAACAGTAATCCTGAAAGAAGATTGCACTATGAGATTCAATACACAGACAATTTAGTCGTAGTTAATTTGTTATAGTTTGACATATCCGTGATCCAAGGTCGTAAATACAGGTGTGTATCAAGAAATGTTAAGTAGATTATCTTGAATGATACCAGTTTCCGTTTTCTATGTATGAAAAGGCACGAAACTGGTTCATGGAACACTTATCCAAAGGTAGTAAATAAACTAATTCATTATAACAAATACAATTAGACCAAATGTGAGGCGATACTCGCCGATGATATAAGGAGCCTAACATAGTGGTTGCCCGACGAAAACCTTAGAAGTACGAATCAGTGTACAATCCTTCTGCTTTCACTACACCATGGTACCAGAATGACCATATCCGTTGACCTGTCAACCTCATCGCCTTTCTACTGCATCAGCAACGAATTATTATGTTACTAACCTTACGTAAAATAAGGAAATCATCGAATGATATCTGAATTTCATGTCCTCCTTTGGTATTCCATACTTGTGCCCTTAAATTGGATAACATACATTACAGCTGCCGCCCGCTACTGAGGTTACGAAGGGAAAATTGATTCATTACCACCGGTTTTAAGTTAACAAATAACCAACTCAACGAAGTACACAGTAAGCGTGATTAAATTTATTTGTAACACCGAAAGCAACCGGCAGTGAAATGCCACTTGTAACACCGTAAACAACCGGCAGTGAAATGCCACTTGTAACACCGTAAGCAACCGGCAGTGAAATGCCACTAACATAAGAACATAAGGAGTCTGCAATAGGCCGGTTGGCCTTAGCATGTCAGCTCCTGTCGAGAGTTACTACCACTCTCTATCATTCATGAATCTCTCTAGCCTCCTTTTAAAACTTTCCAGCGTTCCAGCACTTACTACAAAGTTGCTAAGCTTGTTCCACTCGTCCACCGCCCTATTCGTGAACCAGTTCCTTTCTATCTCCCTCCTAAACCTAAACTTATCCAACTTAATCCGTTGCTAAGAGGCCTATCCTGTTCGGATATTATAAGAACTTTATCTATATCTCCTTTATCTATATCTCCTTGTAACACTAAGCAATTCGGCAGTGACCTGCCACTTGTAACACTATTAGCAACCAGCAGTGAAGTGCCACTTTTAACACCACAAGCAACCAACAGTGACCTATTATCATCAAACATAAGTACAAGCAGCGAGCTGCACCACCAACTACAAGCGGTGAGCAGTGGTTCATCGAACAAACTTTGAGACCTAACCGGAGCTGTAAATGAATATCAATAAAAGGACAAGAGGTTGTGGAAATGGATCCAGAGCAACGAAGAGGAGGGGTGAACATGGACAAAGGTGACCGAGACCCAGAGGTAGAAATTGTCCCTCCAGAGCTGAATGACCACGACTTAACGGCAACAGAAGCTGAAGGGGGCTACCCTCTGCCTGAGCCTGAATGCTCAGTGCATGTATATTCTGTATGCTGTATTCAGGGCCGGCGCTACCCACTAGGCGAACTAGGCGATCGCCTAGGGCGCCAACATCTGGGGGCGCCACAAATTC